GAAGTCATGTGACGTCTAAATTTGGTTAGATCATTCGCGGTTAGGTTTACGTAAGGGTCGTGGTGACCTGCGTCCTGGAGGTGAACCTTGGTTCCGACCCTGCCTGGTAGATTTTTTTTCGAGAAGTTCCGTTGTTGTTGTCCTTCGCGGCCTCAGGCAGAACATTCTCAGAAAAGATACTCTCACCGCCCAGTTAGCGCGATAAACGTCGGGCAGAAAAAAAAAGTTGCCCGCCTTGGAATATATGGACCGCTCCGATAGTATCGACCTTCTCAATCTTCATCCAGAAATAACGAACACCATTATATCTACCAAACATCATCATGGCCAAGCGCAAGAGAGAGGAAACCTCCAAGGAGTCTCGGGCTCCAGCTAAACCATCCAAGACCGTCAAGCCTGCCACTGCCACTGCCACTTCGAAAACTTCCGCATCCTCGACGGCAGATACTTCGGCGCTCACGCTGCAAATCATCACGGGTTCTTACGATCGAATCCTCCATGGCTTCACGGCCGGGGTCTCGTCCAACTGTTTTTCGTCTGCGGAATCTAAAGACACTAGCGCTAAACCCATACAATTCACGGATACATTCCTTTTCGAGGCTCATTCCTCCGCCATCCGATGCCTGGCCTTGTCTCCTCTGTCGAAGACGGAATCCACCGACGAGGCGCAGAGGATCACTCTGGCGACTGGTGGAACCGATGAGCGCATCAACCTTTACTCTCTATCCATGGCCCCTCCCGCAGTGAACGACCAGTTTCCCTCTATCCCAACTCTCAGCGGTAACAAGATCCTCGAAAACCCTAAGAATCGGGAACTGGGGTCGCTTGTTCATCATTCGGCCAGCATATCTGCCCTGTATTTCCCATCTCGCTCGAAGCTTTTGACCGGTTCTGAGGACAACACCATCTCCATCACCAAGACTCGTGATTTTACCGTGGTGTCTACTATCAAGGCGCCCCATCCCAAGGTGCAAGGAAGGCCCAGCGGAGACACTGCTCCGCTCGGGGGCTCGCCTTCGGGTGTCAATGACTTCGCCGTGCATCCGAGTATGAAGCTGATGCTGAGTGTTGGAAAGGGGGAAAAATGTATGAGACTTTGGAACCTGGTGACGGGAAAGAAAGCAGGCGTGTTGAACTTCACCCGGGAGATGTTGCAGGGTGTCAAGGAAGGTAAATGGAGTACCGGAGAGGGAAGGAAGATTGTTTGGAACACCAAGGGCGATGAGTTTGCCGTCGTGTTCGAATGGGGTGCCATTGTCTTCGGAATTGTATGTCACATTGTCCTCCCTGGCCCTAACTGCCATCATTTAAAATCTAACCGTTCTGCCAGGATTCGGTTCCCATCTGCAGGCTCATGCCCAGCCCCCGGAGCAAACTTCATCAGATCAAGTATGTTCCTCTAGACCCATCAGTCGAGGACAGTGAAGAGCTACTCGCAGTCTCGACTGAAGACGGAAGGGTTATCTTCTACTCCACCAAGAAGACACAGCCCGCCGAGAACGACCCAGACTGCTCGATTCCGCTTGCCGAGTCTGTCGCTCAACTTGGTGGACGAGCCCACGGCTTCTCCGGAAGAGTCAAGGACTTTGAGATCCTCAGTCTCAGGGACCAACCGTCGCTGCCCAAGGATGATTTCCTCGTGGTGACCGGGAACAGTGAGGGGATTGTCCGTATTTGGTTGCTCCGCGGGGAAGAGCTCGTTGAAAAGAAGGCAAACAAGAAGAGCTCGAAAAAGTCCAAGAAGGAGGACGAAAAGAGCGCTACAGTCGCGCAAGTTGGAAAGTTCCTGAGCGAGGTGAAGACGGACAATCGGATTACCTGCTTGAAAGCGTTTGTTATGTTGCCTCCTGAAGATCCGTCGACGCTTCAGGTCCCTGAAGATGACTCCGAGGAGGAAGAGGAAAGCGATGATGTTTCGGAGAGTGAGAAAAGTGACGAAGAATAAGGGCCTTAGCCTTGCATGATTGCTTAGATATGTATACCCTAGGTTCCACATGATGGGAGTATGTGTACGATTAAGGTGCACGCCCTGTCTAAAAAAGATTTGTAATTATTCCATCTCATGTCCGATTTCTTTTTTTTGCCAGTAGCCATGAATCTTCACACATTCCCTCTACTGTAAGCTCGCATTAGGACCAGTGGTTGACTCGTTAGTTAACTAACTATCAGTTCATTGTTCGGATGAGTCATCCGAGGGAATGTGGTGGCCTGAGGCAGAATCAGCTGGGAAGGGTAACAGAAACTGTGAACCAGAATAAACCCCATATTGATGTAAGTTTTGTAGAAATACTCCCAGTAATGTCCATCATCAAGTCAATCACTAAATCATATATCTTCTCAACCAAACACCATAATCCCTTCCATGAGTCAGATCGTAGCATGTAAATCGGCAGAAAAAAAAAAAAAAAAAGGCGGCGTCCACCGCCCGCACGCACTCCACTGCACAAATCAGAGAGAGAACCCCACTGACCGGCCAAACCCAAGCCCAAAGGCCATACCGAAGTATCAGATCGCCTCCTCCAGCAATTTTCATCCACACCCCCTCCACCCCATTATTTACGCTACGGCAGTGACTCCGACACCGTCACTTCCTCCCTCCTCCCTACCTTAATTCTACCTGTCGCTGTTTCTGGATATCCTATCGCAATCATGGCTACCAACGGCGATTTCTCCGACGAGGAGTCCCAGCCTGGCTCCCCCATGCTGGATGCGAACGGTCCTGATGACATCGAAGAGCAGGAGGCTCTTGACGAGAAGCCGCCCAAGTCTGCGTTGAAGAATGCTGAGCCCCCTCTTGCTCATCAGAAGCGCCCCGAGCTGCCCGAACAGCCCAACCCGGACACCCTCGACCTGTCGACGTTGACTCCTTTGTCGCCTGAAATTATCGCGCGCCAGGCCACCATCAACATTGGTACCATCGGCCACGTCGCTCACGGGAAATCCACGGTGGTGAAGGCTATCTCGGAGGTTCAGACTGTCCGATTCAAGAATGAGCTGGAGCGGAATATCACGATCAAGCTGGGTTATGCCAACGCGAAGATCTACAAGTGTGACAACGCCGAGTGTCCCCGGCCGACATGCTTCAAGAGTTTCAAGAGTGAGAAGGAGGTTGACCCGCCGTGTGAGCGACCCGGATGCGCAGGCCGGTACCGCCTGCTGAGACACGTTTCGTAAGTGACCTTTGTTGCCGTGGACAGGGTTTGGAGGAGTGTTTGATACTGACTGCTTTTTTTCCCTGTCCAGTTTCGTCGACTGCCCCGGTCACGATATTCTCATGAGTACTATGTTGTCAGGTGCCGCCGTCATGGACGCTGCCCTTCTATTGATTGCCGGAAACGAAACGTGCCCCCAGCCCCAGACGTCAGAGCATTTGGCGGCCATCGAAATCATGAAACTCAGCCATATCATCATCCTGCAGAACAAGGTGGATCTGATGAGGGAAGACGGTGCTCTGCAACACTACCAGTCGATTCTGAAGTTCATCCGTGGTACTGTTGCCGATGGCTCCCCCATCATTCCCATCTCCGCGCAGCTGAAGTACAACATCGACGCTGTCAACGAGTACCTCGTCTCCCACATCCCGGTCCCCATGCGTGATTTCACCGCTTCGCCCCACATGATGGTCATCCGTTCCTTCGATGTGAACAAGCCCGGTGCCGAGATCGAGGAGCTGAAGGGTGGTGTTGCTGGTGGTTCCATCCTCACCGGTGTGCTCAAGCTGGACGACGAAATCGAGATCCGTCCCGGTCTCGTCACCAAGGACGAGAATGGCAAGATCCAGTGCCGTCCCATTTTCTCCCGGGTCGTCTCCCTGTTCGCCGAGCACAACGACCTGAAGTTCGCAGTCCCCGGTGGATTGATTGGTGTTGGTACCCGCGTGGATCCCACCCTGTGCCGTGCTGATCGTCTCGTCGGTTTCGTCCTGGGTCACCGTGGACGTTTGCCTGCCATCTACACTGAGATTGAGGTCAACTACTTCTTGCTCCGCCGACTCCTGGGTGTCAAGACCTCCGACGGCAAGCAGGCCAAGGTTGCCAAGCTCAGCAAGAACGAGGTTCTCATGGTTAACATCGGTTCTACGGCTACCGGTGCTAAGGTGCTTGGTGTCAAGGCCGATGCGGCCAAGCTCAGCTTGACCAGCCCTGCCTGTACCGAGGTTGGTGAGAAGATTGCCATCAGTCGGAGAATCGACAAGCACTGGCGTCTGATCGGGTGGGCCAACATCGTTGCGTAAGTTATCCTCCCGTGTTCCACTTCCATTTATTCCTAGATGAGTGAAATACTGACTTTGTGCCCAGTGGTAACACCCTCGAGCCTATCCTGAACTAAACGAATTCTCTTTTCTCGTCTTATTGTTGATTGATTGTACACTCGGCTCAGTCCGGCCGGGCCATGGTTGAGAGAGATGGAGGGTTCCGAAGGCTGTTGGACTCCCAGTCTCTAACAGCAATACCGGGCGGTCAAAGCTCGAAAGGGAAAAAAAAGGTTTTTTTTTTTTTTTTTTTTTTTTATATTACGGTCATGAAAGGGGGCGTCGGATTACCCATGAATAGAGAACGCAGGATATCCTGAGTCCGTCTCATTCGCCTGCTGGAGGCTTCAATCCACCATCGTGGCCCCAATGCAAAGCTTCCCAAGAGGGTCCCGGAACCTCCCTGTCCCAGCAGGTGGCAAGAGACGGATTTGGAGGATGAGTTAACATGGATGGAGTAGAGAGTTACTCCTTTTTGACGTGTGTTATGACGCAGTTTTGTGGGAAAAATTTATTTCATTTGTTTATTTTTTTATCTTTATTTTTTGTGAGTTCATTCGTCTGTTCGACCGGCATGGACCTATGTAGAAACGATATAGGGAAACAACGAGATGCTATGGAGAATTGATGATGTTTGCATTGGCGACAAGGGATGTCTTAAGCATGTCGAAGTTGATGTAGTCCGGAGCATTCCCCTGCATGATTTGCAGCACAGTGGAGTCCGGGGGATGACTAAGTCCGATCCATCAAGTTACCAGTTGGTCTCACTGAATCTCCCCTTCCACCTCTTTGTTTGGAGATTCAACCAACGCTCCACTCAGCACTTTCTCCAGATCCCTGGTCCCTGTGCTGTGTGTCTCATCATGTATATCCTCGAGGTATGCTCTCTCCGTCCCTGTTACTCTCAGCTAGAGCTGTTCCGCATCTATGGGAGCGCAAGCTAATTCAGCCCTACCCCGTGTTATAGCAACTGGCGCGTCTGCTGGACCGCCCCCTCTTCCCCTGGAAGAATGTCCTCGTGGGCTTTTCCTTGGGCCAGTTCATTCTTGAGGGGCTTCTTTCCTTCCGTCAATATAAGGTGTTGCAACGGACCAAGCCTCCGCAGGTCTTGAAGGAAGAGGTGTCCCAGGAGGTCTTCGATCGCAGTCAGGTAAGCATCTCGACCAAGCTGGAAGATTCGCATCTAACAGGACATTCTCGTCGTCTAGTCTTATGGCCGCGCCAAAGCCAAGTTCGGCTGGGTCGCTGGTCTTTACGGTCAAATTCAGAATCTTGCATTTATCTATGGCGATATTCTCCCCAAACTCTGGGGAGTTAGCGGTCTTCTTTTGGCACAGTACTTCCCTTCTCGGCTCCAGGGCGAAATCTCGCAAACGCTTCTCTTCATCTTCGGGTTCAACATAATCAGCACGGTCCTGTCTCTGCCGATCTCGTACTACAACACGTTCGTTCTCGAGGAGAAATTCGGCTTCAACAAGCAGACTTTCAAGCTGTGGGTTTCGGATATGCTCAAGGGTCAGATGCTCGGTATCGTGTTGGGAACCCCCATCATCAGCGCCGTGCTCAAGATCGTTCAGAAGACTGGTAACTCGTTTTTCTACTACCTGTGGCTCTTCGGCGTCTTCGTCCAGGTCTTCGCCATTACTATCTACCCGATCGTTATCCTGCCGTTGTTCAACAAGCTGTCCCCTTTGGAACCTGGTCCCCTGAAGGCTGGTGTTGAAGCTCTCGCCAAGAAGCTTGAATTCCCCTTGAAGGAGCTGCACGTCATCGATGGAAGCAAGCGGAGCGCCCACAGCAACGCCTACTTTTACGGACTGCCCTGGAAGAAGCACATCGTCATCTATGATACTTTGATTGAGAAGAGCGAGCCCGAGGAGGTGGTCGCCGTTCTTAGCCACGAACTCGGTCACTGGAGTCTAAGCCACACTACGAAGCTATTTGGTATCGCTCAGGTATGTTTGCGCGAAGAGTCGCGAACTACAGGCTCGTGCACAGGAATCAGCTAACTTTCAAAAACCAGTCCCACATGTTCTACATCTTCGCCCTCTTCTCGGTTTTCGTGAACAACAAGTCTTTGTATCAGTCCTTTGGCTTTATCAAGGAACAGCCCATTATGATTGGATTCCTTCTGTTCTCCGACGCTCTGGCACCCATGGACGCTGTGGTCAAGCTTCTCATGAACATTCTCAGCCGCAAGTTCGAATTTGAAGCCGGTATGCCATCTTCTTTATGGCCAACACTTGTGTCACAATATACTGACAATGCCACAGATGCCTTTGCCGTGAAACTCGGATACTCCAAGGAGCTCGCGCAGTCCCTCCTCAAGCTTCAGATCCAGAACCTGAGCACCATGGATGCCGACTGGATGTATGCCAGCTACCATTACTCCCACCCCATCCTGTCGGAGCGCCTTAAGGCTCTCGGCTGGGAGGGTGAAAAGGTCACCAGCAAGGAGGCCGACAGCGAGGAACCCGTTAAGGCAGCTGACCGAGAGCTGTGAGGGGAAGTCATGGGTAATCTTTGCTATTCTTTTTTTCGTTCTTTTCGGGTATGTTGTTTGTTCCGAGAGGTTAGGGTGTTTGGAGGCGATTAGTATAAATGGATGGCTCGTTTGGGTTCGTGGAGATGTTGGAAAACCCAGTTGGATGGGAGTAATAAAATAAACAATAAGAATCGAATATAAAGCCACAAGAAGAACTCCGTATACATCATGATATCGAATCACCCAAAAAGACAAATGCGCCTATACCATATGCACAGCTTATTTTATAATCCTAACAGCAGAAGCAGATCGCTCAACCCATCCATCCACAGCGTCCCATCGCAGAACAGATGCCAAATGAGCGAAGCGCTGATTCACACCCTCCGCAAATCTGTCCACTCCATTTATGCCGCATTGTTGGCCTTGGCCTTCTTCTCGGCCAGTCTGCGCTCCTTCTTCTTGCGCTTTCTCTCTTCCTTGTCGAGGCCTCCGGCGCCATCGTCTTCGTTCAGTTCTTGTTGCACCGCGTCGACCTCCATTGAATCCTGCTGCTCGTCCCCATTCACCTCTTGCTCGAACTTCTTGGCATCTTGCCAGTCTCCGTTATCTGCCCCAGGTGGCTGCACGGTTCCCTCCTCCCCAACGATGCTCAAATCCCGACCCAGCACCTCCCCGGCAAGACCGGCCTGCACGCGCTTCAAGTTGTGGAGGATGAGGTTGGGAGCTGCGGCGGTGGAGCGCGAGACGGGTCCATGTTCGCTGATTCCGGCGTTCGGTTGCATAGCAGGATCCGTGTTAGCGCGGTCAAGGTACGCAGCCAGGAAGTCGTGCGCTGCGGATTGAGAGATCGGGGTAGAGGAGCGGATGGTGGTAGGTGGGAGGGCCGAGGGTGCGGTGGCCATGATGCTTGCGATGGGGGAGGAATTGACGCGTAATGGTATCGTGTGGAAGAAAAATATTTAAAAAAGCCAAAGGCGTAGGCAATTCTCTGGATTCGAGTTGAAGATCTACAAGTTGTGGCCGAGACTGAACTGAAAGTTGAACCGCAGCGAAACTCGAAAAAGACAAAAAAAAAAGGCTGCACGTGGTCCGTGCACTGCGGAGTTCCCAATTCGATCATTTCACTTCAACCTCATCTTCGTCTTCCTCTTTCCCGTCTCCCCTCTGACCTGGCACTCGTCCATCCTCCACAACTACCCCCTCGCAATCCCCTCAACATGCTCTGTTTCCGCTGCAGAGCCCTGCCCTCCGCTCTGAGGAGCTTCTCCTCGTCCACCCTCTCCCGGTATGTTCCACCACATCAGACCACGACAACTCCCGTCCTTTCCCTTCCCTTCGAATGCCTTAAGACTAATTGAAAACAGGACCTCCTCACAAATCTCCTCGCCTCTTCGCTCCCTGTCAACTCCGCTCTCTGGCTTCCGCACCCAAACACCGAGCCTCGTCTCTCTCCGTCCCGCGCTCCCCTCCATCAACGCCACGACTCCGCTCACCTCCACTCTCCAATCTCGCTCGTTCTCCGCGAGTGCCTCCCTCGGCGTCAAGCGCGATACCTACAACCCATCACGACGGGTGCAGAAACGTCGTCACGGATTCCTGGCGCGGTTGCGGTCGCGCGGAGGTCGAAAGATCATTCTGCGTCGGAGGGCCAAGGGAAGGAAGAACATGAGTTGGTAGATAGAAATGGGCTTTCGCCTTTTTGTGTTTTCGCGTTTTGCTGGTTTTCGAAATATGAACAGAGTATTGGGGTATGATGTTCTTTCTGCTGGATAGTCACGGATTTTTTGTTTTTGTTTGAGTATTGTATGGCCGTCTTTTTTTTTAAGTTTATTTGTCTCCGAGAGTGAGATTGGAGGCTGAGGTTGGCCTGTCTACCTAGGTAGGAAGCGCTGTTTCGTGGCCGCTGTATCTACGGTCTGGTCGAGCCTCGTGTACCATATATACATATGTTTGATATAGAACTGCTGATCATTGCGTTGTTTCTTGCAAGTCATCTGGGATCATCGTTTAGTATGATGTCAGAGAGGCCAACATTTATAGAGAACCCTGCACGACTGCTCCATGAATAACCCAGGTGCCAGTGTCGAACATCCAGTCAATTGGTTCTTCTTTACTGTAAAGGTATCTATATACACTGCCAGGTTTTTCTCTACCGAGATTATATTCACCCCCTTGGTCTCTTTGGTCTAGGTGTTTATGTTACGTGATAGTGATAAGTGTATACCTTCCGAGCACCGTCCATCCATTTCCCGTGATAACCAGCCTGATTCGTTATTTTTATAAAAGCATCACTCATCATCTTCGGAATCATCGTCATTGTCATCCTCTTCGGATCCGGTTTCATATTCGTCATCGTCGTCGTCGGACTCTTCGTGGTCGTCGCCAACCTTCAACCCGTAGTCGTCCTCGAATTCCTTGAGCGCTTGCACCTTGGGAGTGAATCCAGAGGCTTCGAGGGCTTCCTTGATGGTCTAGAATCCGAAAGTTAGTATTGAATAGATGTTGAACTTAGAACTTAGGTGGGGGGGGGGGAACGAACCGTCTCAAGCATGGTCGTACAGGTGATCACGATGTTGGCCGTGGCCGGGGCGAACACCGGCAGAATGATGTCCTGCAGAGCCTTCTTGATATCTTCGACGCCGATGTCCCGCACTTGCTTCAGCATCTTCTCCTTGTAGTCAGTCGGGAGCTTGCGGATGACCTGGCGAATGAAACTGCCCTGGGCTGCACCGGCGATGGTCGCCTGCTCATTGGCAAAGCTGACCACGATGCTGCTGATCGCGCCCTCCAGCATCAAGGGGTCGAACGGCTGGGCGCCGGAGAGGTGGTCCTTGACGATCTGCTTGCTCGACTCAAATGCCTTGTGCGCATTGGGCGATCGGTACACGTCGAAGTTAACGAAGCCGGTGTCGATGTTGTAGGCGAAGTTGGTACCGTATGCCAGACCCGTACCGCGAACCGCCACCCACAGAGGACCCTCGACCGCGTTCATGTAGGCAATTGCCACCAGCAGCGCGGGGAGCCTCGGGTCATCGTACGAGTCGAGACCCCGAGCCGTAGCGTAGGCAAAGGAGGAGTCGATCGTGGGCATGGGGACAACGAACGACTGTCCGCCCAGCTTCTGGCCGGTCTCACTCAGCAGGGGTCTGCGGGAGGTGATGGGCTGCAGTGGAACATGAGCACCTAGTCGATCAACGAACGATTTCCAGGCCGACACTGGGTTCTGGAGCTTCTCGAGGTCGGCAATGATCACGACCCTCATGTTCTCGAACTTGAAGAGAGCATTTCGAATCTCCTCCATGCGTGCGACAACCGTCTCCGGTTCTTCGGCCAACTGACGCTTGATGCGCTTGAGGTAACGTGCCTTCACCAAGGTGCTGCGAGCCCGTACAATCGACTCAGGCGCGTAGTGGACCATGACGTGCACGGCCGCAAGCATGTCGTCGCCGGAACGCTTGGAATCGGGGACATCGGATAGGAGACGACTGGTGATGGCGCGAAGTCGCTCCACGTCGAAGATAGAGCTCCACGAAAGCTCCTGGAGCCAGGCAATTGCCGTGCTGTATTTCTCCAACTCGACCTGGAAGGAAATGCGGAGCATTTCCGAGTTGCCCAGGCTTCTGGCCCCCTCCATGGAATAGCCCACGGTGTCTCTCTCCAACTCAACAACGACCTGTTCGAAGTTGATGGTCTTGCCATCACGTTGGACTGGAAGGTTGAAGAAGGCTTCCGTATAGATGGACAAGAGAGGTCGAAGTTGGACCGGCACAGACTGCGCCGAGATCAGAAGAGAGAGCTGGACGAAGCTACTGGGAATGTGCTCGAAGTGGATGAACAGGGGCATGTCAGAGCCGTCAGCGTCCACAAGCTTCTGAACCTTGTGCTCCGGGTGTCCGGCTTGCAAGGCAGTGCCTGAACGAGCCGTGGTGGTCTCCACAAAATGGATCGACTCGATCCCAGGGATCTTGAAATTCTCCAACATTTCCTTGGGGATCTCCTTGTCATTCTCGGCCTTGGCTTTCTCAAGCTTGTCGGCCAGCTCCGCCAATCCCTTCTCCCCAAGTCGCTTTTTCTGCTCCGCCACTCGAGTCTCCTCTTCCTTTTTCAGCGTGTCAGACATCTTCAACGACGGTACGCCAAGGATGGTGACATGAGTCGCATCGGAAATCCACTTCTTGATGAAGGTGCGCCATTCGACCTCAGTCCACTTCTCCAGCACATCGTACTCCTTCAAGGTGGCTACATCGAGCAGAGTCGAACCATCTCGCTTTCCGAACAGGAAGTCAGAGATGACATATTCTGCAAACTGAGAGGCAGAGCTTTCCGTGGAGAACTTCCAAGTACGCCTCTGCCGCTCAATGCACTCCTGGAGGTATCTCATGTCAAGCTCCTTCTGCATCGCATCGTTCAACACCTCGAAAAAGCGCTTCTCCACCTGAGCAAGCTTATCCGTCTCCACACTAGTGAGGGTGAAACGAATCTCTAGGCTAGGGTGATCTTCGGTGGTGTAGTAGACAGCGCTGGCGAGTTGCTCCTTTTCCACGAGGATGTTATCCAAGAGAGAAGCCGACGATCCAGCCAGGTACAGCAAAGCAACATTGAGTGCCCCAGCTGATTGACCGGTCAGTATTGATTTAGTGTAGGTGGTGGGTTGCAGGGGAACGCTTACTTTGAATAGGGTCTGTGCAGTCCGGTCCCAGGAATCTGATCTCTATTTCACCAAAAGATTCATCTTCCTCGGGGAATTCTACAGTCTGCACAATGGACTTCTCAAGCGGGGGAGCCTGCTTGGAGTCGACCCAAGGGCGCTTGAAGGGCGAGTCGGGACTAGGGATGACATCAAGGATGGTGTCCTCGAATTTGTCTAGTGTCTGCAGCATATTCTCGTGGTCTACTTCACCCGTGATAATCAGGCACAGGTTTTTGGGTTGGTACATCTCTCGATGGAAGGCTCGAATCCTCTCTGCGGTGAGGACGCGAAGCTGCTCCATCATACCGCCGGTTTCGTAGCGGAATCCCACACCCTCAGGGTAAGTCAACCGTCGAGCAGTCAGATCAATGAGCTCTGCGGAGTTATTCTGCACACCCTGCATCTCCGAGTACACAACTCCCGCATCGTTTCCGGTGCCATCAATGTGGTGCACCTCGGTATAGCAGCCTTCGTCGGTCAAGGTCGGAGCGATGACATGCTCCAGGTAGACGGGCAGGATTTGCGCAAATCCTTCCCAGCCGGCGGTGTCCAGGATATACGCTGTGTGGTCGGTCGCCGTCCACGCATTGGTGTTCGAGTAGACTCGCGTCGCGAGCTTGTCAAGAAACCCCTTGTATCTGTAGTTGCGAGATCCCATGAAACAGAGATGCTCCAGAGTATGAGGGGCTCCCGAGTCGTCGGCAATTTCGGTAGCCAGGACGAAGTAACCCGTTACCTTGGGGCCCTTCTGGTCAATGACCACGACCCGCATGCCAGTTCTCTCGGATTCATACTGAACAAACTCGCTCGGCGAATATTCGGGATTGAACTTTTGGAGTAGTTTGAAATGACTCTGGTGACTAGGCGACATAGTGAATAACGATCTTGAGGACCTCCGGAGTCGTTCTTCCACCCCAGATCTCGCAGTAGCTTCCTTAAACGATGGTCTGGGCGACGGTCAGTAATCCGGTTCAGGTACACGAGCGTTCCAAGAATTCGTAGAGAAAGAACCGGATACTAGACGAGAAAATAGTGTAGATCATGGGGATTATATGTGTGTTTAATAAGGGTACATTTGGTAGGTTCCCAAGCAATAAGACCGGGATGGTTTGGCGGTGGCATGCCGGGGTTTTTGGAGGGGTTTAAGGAGGGGCAGCTCTTTTTTTCTTCTTCCTTTCTTTTTGCTCTCTCTGGATGGAAAGCAGGACTGTCGGGAACTCACTGGGATCGAAATCGCGCCCTAGTCAGGCCTCGTGGAATAAGCCGAGACAACACTGTGGACGTTGCTTGACGGGCAAGGCTCAATGATGCAAGGACGTGGGCTGCTGGGGTTTAGAGCCCTTCAGGCCGTGACGACGTTCTGGAGTGGAGTCTGGGTCCCGTTGTTGGAATGATGAGGATCACCCGGTCAGCAGTCGGTCAGATATTCTCATAGATGGGATCCAGACAACGTCCTCGAGTAGGACAGGAAGGAATCTGGCAAGCGCAAAATCACGAAGAGAGGGAAGTTCTCCTCGTCGTCGAGTAAGCCAATTACTGTAATTGTTCCTGCTGGAGGCTTGTCTGCATTGGGCCAGGGCGGTGAGGGCGGTGAAGTCACATGGTGTTGACAGCGCGCTCGTTTCGCCCTCATCTTGTCGCCAACATCGTCCTTCAGGCATCTGCTGTCTCGGGTTTCTGAGCCTGCTTTGCTCTCGGTCGACTGAGATACCAAGGTTGACGTACGATAGCCTTCGTTCACCATGGCCAACAAGACCTCGGAACAAGATATATGCCAATCGGTGTTGGATTTCGTCACCGACGGCAAGTACCCAGAGTCGGAGAAGGTGGTCGCCGCGGAATTCCCCGTATCTGCTCTGTCTAAGGAGTTGGAACTTCTGTCCAAGGCCAGAGCGCAAGTGGAGGTGAGGCTTCATACTCCCCACGACCCCTCATCCATCCTTCGGGCCAGATTGCTGTTACGGAACGGTGCATTTCACTAAGAAGATACTAACCCTCTTTCTCCCACCCAGGCTGAGATTAGCTTATTGAGTCGGGAAAATGATTTTGACGCCGACGGTTGGATCTCGCAAGCGAAGCAATTGCACGCAGATATCGAACGGTCCAGGGTTACTGCACGGGAGATAGTCGCCCAGCATGAGAACACGAATCCCCTGCAATCGAAGGTCGAAGATGCTGCTGCCAAGGTTGGGCTGATAGAGACGGAGATTGCTTTCAACCAGGCCGTAACCGACACGTTGGAGGAAGTACAGAGACTCAGCCAGCAGCTGGGCGCGGGACGGGCCCTTCTTCGAGAGGACCAAATCACCGGCGCAATTGATATACTGGAGTCGACAGAACAAGCCATCAAGAAGGACAACTTATTCGTCAATACAACTGTTCTCGTTATCTTGTCAGAGGATGTCAATGATCTACGGAGCGAAATTGTCGAGTGCCTCCGCGCTCGCTGGAACGACCAGCTAAACATTGACGGAAGAGAAGCGAAGCTCGTCCTTCCGGAAAACACTGGTGAGAGGCCTCTTGGGATCTTCATCTGGTGATATCACTGCTAACGCTGTGTAGAGCGACTGGAGGAAACTGTTACGGCGCTGGTTCGATTGGAGATGCTCGCCCCAGCCAAGGGTAAATTCCAAAAGGATCTGGTCTCTGCAGTAATCGAACCGATACTACTACCTACAGTTGATGGCCACAGCCGCGGTGTGCACATTGAGGGAACCTCACTCTGGGTTGCGCCTCAACTATCCAAAGTTTCGGTTTCCGAGCTCCTGGAGCGCATAGTCAAGGTCTTGGAATTCCTTCGCCAACATCTTCATCCATCGATCCTGGATTCACTTTCGGAAACATTCATTCCAATTCTTTCATCTAAGATTATAGCCTCGTGGCTCTCATCGGCGATCCCCACAGAGCTCGTGGGCCTTGGTGAATTCGAGAAGACCCTGGACGACGTTCTGGAATTTACTAAGACCATCCAAAAGTTTGGTTGGCATGGTCAAGAAGAGCTTGTCTCTTGGGTCAACCAGGCCCCCCGACTCTGGCTGACGAGACGACGGGTTGACTCATTAGACCAGGTTCGCAAGGTTCTCGCTGGGAGTGAGGGTAGCACGAAACAAGTGGAGAGGGTTGAAATAGAGAAGGTTTCTGCCACAGATGAGGCTCTGCTGGAAAATTCTACTTCCGATGACTGGGATGCCAGCTGGGACGACGATATGGGAGATGACTCCAAAGAGAAACCCGCTGAAGAGAAGGAAGACGAAGAGGACGTCAGTGCCTGGGGTCTGGACGAAGATACAAACGATTCCCCTGAAATAGCGCCTGATGCATCTGCCGCTGCCGCTGCCAATGACGACGATGAGGATGGTGATGCCTGGGGCTGGGGTGATGAAGATGAAGAAACCACCGTCGACTCCTCCCAGCCCAAGAACTCGGTCAAGGCAAACTCGGTCAATGGGAAGGGCGCAGCACATCAGGCCTCTCCGCGAGAAGTCACCTTGACGGAGCGCTATACTGTAACGGATATTCCTGAAGCTATCCTTACGATTATCCGACAGCAAGTGATGGACTCCGATGCCATAACACATCCAACGTATGTAATTTACTCCCTGCCCCGAAAGTTCATGCTAATCTTATGCCAGGCACTCCAATTCACGCGTCGTTTCCTCCGGGGCTGGTCTTCTTGCTCTTCCGACATTGATCCTCGCAATGTTCAAAGCTACAGCGACCTCATTCTACGGACTTAAACTCAATTCCGGGCAGATGTATCTATACAATGACAGTCTGTACCTGGCGGATCAAGTTCGCCATATTGCAGAGAAACATCGGCTTTCGAGACTCCAGGCGGATATTGAAGCGCTTGAACGATTCGGCAAATTGGCTTACAGCAAGGAGATGCAAACTCAGCGCACCATTGTGACCGACCTACTCGATGGTGCGCAGGGATTTAGCCAATGCTCAGAGCAACCTTTCCTAGGAGAATGTGAGAATGCAGTTAGTGCGACGGTTGACAGAATCCGCGACGTTCACAAGGAATGGCAACCAATCCTGTCACACTCGGCGCTTCTCCAATCGGTCGGGTCCCTGGTCTCGACTGTCATCAACAAAACCATCATCGAGATTGAAGACTTAGGTGATATATCAGAAACCCAGTCGGAACGGCTCGTGTCGTTCTGCAACCAAGTCTCGAAACTGGAAGATCTGTTTATCCCAGAGACATCTGAGAACGCGGAACGTGTTCCTATGACGGCTGTTTATGTACGCAATTGGCTGAAGTTCCAGTATTTGATCAACATCCTGGAGAGCTCTTTGGCGGATATCAAGTTCCTCTGGCTAGAAGGCGAGCTGCGTCTGGAATTCTCGCCCGAGGAGGTCGTGGATCTAATCGAGGCTCTGTTCGCCGAATCTGACTACCGGCGGAAAGCGATTGCGGAAATCCGACGAATCTCTCGAAACCATGGAACTACTATGTGAGCGATGTATATAGATCAGCATTAGTACATGTGTGTTACAGAACAGAAAATAAGAAAATATTCAGTTGATATTCCAAGGACAAAATCCAAGGGCTGCGGGGAATCTCCGCGCTTTGCGCAAGTGGCCGCTTCGGTCACCGTATTTTTTTTTTCCTTTGCCCGTCGCAGTTTTTCTTCCGCGGCGCATCCAGTAGACCACGCCGCCTAAAACTTCCTTTCCATTGCTACACACTTTCAAAATGAATGGGAATCAGGGTTCTGCTGCGGCCTCGTCGGAGGCTGCTCAAAGGCAAGTTCGTGTACAGCTTCTCAGCAAGCAAGAGGATATCGCACTGCCTGAGAACACCGGTCCGATTTTGGTGCCCACTGGTGAGTTTCGATCATCCAACAACTCCTGGATATCGCTCATGCTCTAACTCTGCTCTCATTAGGCCTACGGAGATATGCGCTTTCGACGTTAGTGAACAACCTCCTCGGGTCCGCCAAGCCGATCCCATTTGAGTTCTTGATCAACGGATCATTTCTCCGAACTTCGATCGATGAATATCTGACGGCCAATGGCATCTCCGCCGAAACTACTTTGGAAATCGAATATGTGAGAGCGTTGATTCCGCCTCTTCATATTGCGTCTTTCGAGCACGATGATTGGGTCAGCTCGGTCGATGTGCTCTCTGCCACTTCGCCCGCAGCTTCTTGGGCGTCCGCCAATATTACTCCAGGCCAGGAGAGGATTCTGTCTGGTAGCTACGATGGTCTTCTACGAGTGTGGGATATGTCTTCGCAAATCGTGGCAACCTCGCCGTCGCCGGCTGATGGTGGCCATACCGCATCTATCAAAGCCGCCAAGTTTATCTCTCCCAACTCGATCGTCTCAGCGGGACTTGATCGTACGGTTCGTCTGTGGAAATACACGCAAAGCGAGAACGGGTTTGAAGGACACATCGCTCCCCAACTAGAGCTGTACGGGCACAAGCTTGGCATCAACTCGCTAGCGGTCCACGCACCTTCGAACCGCATCCTATCCGCATCGTCAGATCACACCGTTGGTCTCTGGTCAACCAAGAAATCCGATGCTCCAGCTGCTCCGGAGAATCTACTTCCATCGGCCGTCGCCAAAAGCTCCAAACGAAGAAAGTTGAACTCGTCTGTGAGCGCCCCTCAGCGTGGACCTGTCGCCCTTCTCTCTTCCCACAGTGCACCAGTGTCAGCCGCTATTTTCGATGCTAAGGACTCTACCGTCGGATACTCGACGTCTTGGGATCATTCTCTGCGCACATGGGATCTTGTCACTGCTGCTTTGGTGGATACCCGGACGACATCCCACTCCCTTCTTTCCCTCGAGCACCTCCCTGAACATCACCTCCTCGCTACGGGTTCGTCGGCCCGCCACATCACCCTCATCGATCCTCGAGCCTCCGCGACGACCATCGCGGCTATGACGCTGCGCGGCCACACCAACGCCGTCGTGTCGTTGGCTCGTGATCCTAACAGCTCGTACGGTCTGATCAGTGGTAGCCACGACGGCACGTGCCGCATCTGGGATATCCGGTCAACCAAGACCGACAAGGACGGTGTTGTGGGAGAAAGCGTCTACTCGATTGGTCGCAAGAGCTTGGAGGAGGGAGGCAAGGCCGATGCCAAGCGCGTGGGCGGAGAAGGAGTCAAGGTCTTCGGCGTGTGTTGGGACAAGTCGGTGGGTATTGTCAGTGCCGGTGAGGATAAGAGGATCCAAATCAACCGTGGAGAGGGTGTATTGTCTTCCACATGAAAATGGGTTGCACATATGGGCGTGGCGTTCTATTGTTGGATGAAAAAGTTGGGCTGTTTTGACTTTGTTTTCGAACAGCTACCATACGAGTTCGATGTCTCCTTAATTTGTATGCAATATCAATCAATCGTTCTAGACCGGGAAGATAGGAAATCATCGTCTTCTTTTTTTGACCTTTTTTAGTTTCCATTGTCTAATATAATACACATCGTGAGATTCGAGGGAACCAAGTATCCAATTACAAGAAATAAACAATAAAACGCCGGTTCATGCCCTCAGAGATATAAATGACACCAGGCTCGACCAGCCGTAAGATTTTTGCAGCATCCTACATTCTTCTCTCCATGCGGTTCAGCTTGACTGCTGTCTTGATCTGTTTTCGTCACCGTTAGCAAAGAGCCCGTGTTCAACCCCCAACGAAACCACCTACCTGGGTTCTTGTCCTTTGACCCCGGACCGGCAATCCCAGCGCGTGACGTCTACCACGGTAGGTACCGCTCTCCTTCAACCGCTTGATGTTGTCGAGGACGTTTCGCCGGAGGTCGTTCTCGATTTTCATATCGGACAGAGCAGCCGTGAGATCCAGGACCTGCTTGTTGGCCAGTTCGCTAACCTTGCATGTTGGGTGGATATGGAACCGGGCAAGGAGGGTTGACGAGGTCTGGTTTCCGATTCCGAAGAAGGATTGGAGGGATTTCTGTTGGAACCTATTAGACCGGAACGTAGTCGAGGGCCGAGGAGGGTGGACGGGGGAAGAGGTTGATGCTTGCCTTGACGAGGTTGCGCTCGGGGAAGTTGACACCGAGAATGAAAACCTAATTGACAATTAGCAAATGGGATCCAGTATAAGGTGAAGAAATCGAGTTCAAGCATACCATTTTGACGGGTTGCGCGTAGGATCCGGACTCCCTCGTTCTCTCTATACCTCTCGTCTGCGGGTGTTGCAACTCCGGCGAGCGGGAGAAATCGAGCAAAGCGGCAACAATGTTTCTCCGCGAGGAACGTTGAAAGTTTCCGGCGTAATACTCATATTTTCCCTTATCGCGCCGGCACCACTGAAAATTACACGCTCTTTCCCCGATCGGGCGTAATTCGATCTTGGCATCTCCGCATGCCGCTGACTGGCAACTCTAACTGCAAGCTGGCCTTCATGGAGCTTCTTCCTTTCCTCATCCCCACTGCTCTGTACAATCCATTGTTAGGGTTCCACGAGCAACCATGAACTTCAAATCCATTTTCCTGTCTTTTTTCTTGGTCCTGGCCGTCGGGCTTGCCCTGGTCCACGCCGAAGAGGCCAAGGAGCCTCGGGGCCCCAAGATCACCAGCAAGGTAAGCCTGCTGTCTGGCGGATTTTCAGACGTATTGCTGGGGAAATACTAACTGGGTGGATGTGGGTAGGTCTACTTTGACATTGAACACGGTGACAAGCCCCTCGGTCGAGTTGTGCTTGGTTTGTACGGAAAGACTGTTCCCAAGGTAAGCAAACAATCCTCTTTGATATTCAATTGGAATCGGATGCTGATCAACCTGATACACGCTAGACCGCTGAGAACTTCCGGTACAGTTCCTTTTAACATGAATCCCAAGGTGCCTTGAATTATCATACTAACATGACTTTTTTCAAGCGCTCTGGCTACTGGCGAGAAGGGTTTCGGCTATGAGGGATCTACCTTCCACCGTGTTATCAAGGACTTCATGATCCAGGGTGGTGACTTCACTCGTGGTGATGGTTAGTTTTTCGCGGGTGAAACCCCCAATATTGAGTTGACGCATACTAATGTTTGACGGAAAGGAACCGGCGGCAAGTCCATCTACGGCGAGAAGTTCGCCGACGAGAACTTCAAGATCAGGCACACCCGCAAGGGTCTCCTTAGCATGGCCAACGCCGGCAAGGACACCAACGGTTCTCAGTTCTTCATCACCACCGCCATTACTGCGTACGTTCAGCCCGGAATAATTCTCCCGACAGGGTCATTTGCTAACTATTCGCTCCTCTAGCTGGCTTGATGGCCGCCACGTCGTCTTCGGCGAGGTCCTTGAGGGCTACGAGATCGTCGAGCAGATCGAGAACGTGCCCAAGGGCCGTGGCGACAAGCCCGAGCAGGTGGTCAAGATCGCGAAGAGTGGAGAGCTGGAGGTTGAGGATACCCCCAGCGAGAAGAAAGGTAGCCACGAGGAGTTGTAGACCTACACCCGGTCAGTCCTTGCTACTTGAGGAGAGCCCTAATGTGCTGATGCTCGCTGGTCTCTGAAGGCGAAGAAGAAGAGAATGAAGAAGCCATTATCACGGATAGTCCGCCAGAGGTTGCACCAGTCGTCCCAGCACCATCCTCGATTTCTCTACCCGGGTTCGCCGTCTTTGTCGTGGCTATCGCGATCATCGCACTCATGGTTAAGAACTGCTGCGGAGGACGTTCTCGGGGAAAGGATCACGAAAAGAGTCTCGCTTGAGAAAATAAATGCAATGTCATCATATTTACCTACCGTACACCTATGCCGAGGCTGCATTGTCCCGTTGGTTTTATTTTCTTCAAAAAAAAAAATTTTCGGTTTGCCCTGCGTCCCTCCTGGACCTATCAAGCCACCAGATCGGAGTAGTGCCGTTAGTAAACCGGTCTGTGGATTGGGTCTGTGCCATAAGAAGCGGTCAATGGCAGCGCCCAAAAGGAAGTAAGTGGCGACGTTAGTCAGATGACCCGAGCCGTGGAAATTCAAGGTGTGGCAAAGGAGAGGAAAAGGATGGTGGCCACAAGCCTCGGTGGTGGCAGTGGTGGTCAAGTACCTGGGTCAAACCAACGCACCAAGTACGGAGTAAACACTATGAAGTATTATGTGAGATGGTCAAGAGGTGATAATAAGTAGTAGCACGGGGTTGAAGATCTCCGATTAGATCTTTGTCACGACTCACGATTAGTTAGTTGCACTTGGCCCTTTAGTGCTACGTACGTGCTACGAAGATGATTTGGATGGCCAGTCCCAAGTAAATAATGCTTAGTTTTCCTCTGCAAAAATCAGAGGAGTCATGTCATACCACCCCGAGAAAGAATCACTACGGGAGTCAGAGTCTCTGGATCTACAATGTCCACTGTCCAGTATGCGGATGGCATTTTATTCGGCCTTACCAGATTGGTCCGCAGGTACTTTAGTCCATATAGGAAGTAGTGAATAACACTCGGTAGAAAACTAAGACCAGCAGCAAAATCATTAAAGATTTCAAGACCTCGAACAAACATCCAAATGGATTTTAAAATAAGCACTGTAGAATGAAAAAGAATAATTCATTTCGTGGCGGATGATTGACGTAGGTATTCCAGACGAACAGCGGATTAGTTGTTGGCCACTTTAGTTGCTATTTGTCTTTTTTTTTTTTTTCCTTTCCTTTTTTCCCACCGTCTGGTTTCGCTTCTGAGTCTGAATCAGCGGGAAGGGCCAATTTGGAAGGGAAGAAGAAAGAAAAAAAAAAGTTGACAGCAAAAGGGACAAACACAATAGACCAGACACTGATTCACCCAAGTGGGGGAGAAAATGGAAGAAAAAAAAAAAAATTTCAAAAATGAAATGAAAAAAAATTCGAATTAATTAACACTCCAATCGGGCGTTGCCTCTTTTCCTCACCCACAAGAAACGAAAAAACCCATTCTCCCTTTCCCTTTTCTCTTTCGGCTTCGCTCTTCTTCTCTTCCACTTCCCAACTCTCTCCTCCCCCCCCCTAATCCAAATCGGTTCATTTTTTTTCTTTTCAATATCTCCACATATTATCCTTTTTTTCTTCCCTCTTCCTCTCTTCTCTCTCTCCTTCCTCCCGTCCTTCTAGTTTCCCTTTTCCTTTCTGCAAATTTAATAGAGGGTTAGATCTGGGAGATCACCTTGGTTTTTTTCTTTTTTGTAATTCAACTGCTCAGAAGAAATCTTCCTTCCTTTTCACTCTTCTTCCTGTCCTTTTTTTTGCCGTGCTATTGTCCATTTGCTCGGTTCTTGTATCGCCACTTGATAGAGAACGGTGGTACTTTTTTTCAAATCATTCGCACCACGTTCTTCTCTTTTTTTCTTGTACAAAAAGAAAAGAGATTTCAGGTGGATCAGATCGCGATTCTGCTCTCCAATTATCAACGGAAACGACTTTAGAACCGTACGTTCATTCTTTTGTTTAACAAGTTGCTTGTCCGTCCTGCTTATCTGTCATCCTACTGCAGTTCGTGAATTATCCGCAAAGATGGCCGACGGATTGAAGATGGGAAACCTTTCCCTTAACGAATCTCAGCATGCGCCTGCTGCCCCTAACACTGGCCGTGCTGCCTACATCCCCCCTCATCTTCGCGGGCGTCAGATGGGCGCCAGCGCGAACATGGACGGTGCTGCCCCTCCCCCAGGCCCTGGCCCTGGCCCTGGCCCTAACCCTGGCTTTGCCTCCAGGTACGTTCCCTTCTCTTTTTGCTACTCTCGCGATGTATTCGCAACGATGATACATGCGCCTTGTAATGTATGGAGATGAGACTAACGGGTTGGTTTTTTTTTTTTTCAAACAGAGGTGGTCCTCGCGGCAACAACTGGGCCAACGCCAGCGCCCCTGACTTCAGCCCCCGCGGTCCCAATGGTAACACAAGCTGGATACCCTCAGAAGGTTCACGCCATGCCTTTAACCCAGATGCTTACGGAAACCCAGGTCCCGGAGGTCCCCACGGTGGAGGAGGTGGTGCTGCTGCCAGAGGCTCTGGAGACGGCCAGTGGCGCGACGGCAAGCACATCCCTGGACCCGCCAATGCCCGCGTGGAACGTGAACTTTTCGGCGTTCCCAACGATCCCTCCAAGCAAAACACCGGTATCAACTTCTCCAACTACGATGACATCCCGGTCGAGGCCTCCGGCCAGAACGTCCCCGAGCCCGTCAACGCCTTTACCAACCCGCCCTTGGATGACCACCTGATCGCCAACATCACCCTCGCTCACTACCAGGTCCCCACCCCCGTGCAGAAGTACTCTATTCCCATCGTGATGGGCGGTCGTGATCTCATGGCCTGTGCCCAGACTGGTTCCGGAAAGACTGGTGGTTTCCTCTTCCCCATCCTGTCGCAGGCTTTCCAGAATGGTCCCTCTACCGCCCCGGCCCAGGCGCCCGGTCAGTTCAGCTACGGTCGTCAGCGCAAGGCCTACCCGACCTCCCTCATTCTTGCCCCCACTCGTGAGCTTGTGTCTCAGATCTTTGACGAAGCCCGCAAATTCGCCTACCGCTCTTGGGTTCGCCCTTGCGTGGTCTATGGTGGTGCTGACATCGGCTCTCAGCTGCGTCAGATCGAGCGTGGCTGCGATCTTCTGGTTGCCACTCCTGGTCGTCTCGTCGATCTGATCGAGCGTGGCCGTATCTCCCTGGTCAACATCAAGTACCTGGTTCTGGACGAAGCCGATCGTATGCTGGACATGGGTTTCGAGCCTCAGATCCGTCGGATTGTAGAGGGTGAAGACATGCCTCACGTGAATGACCGCCAGACCCTCATGTTTTCGGCCACCTTCCCCCGGGACATTCAGATGCTGGCCCGTGATTTCCTGAAAGACTACGTTTTCCTGTCCGTCGGACGTGTGGGTTCCACCTCTGAGAACATCACCCAGAAGGTCGAGTACGTGGAGGACCACGACAAGCGCTCGGTGCTCCTTGACATCCTTCACACCCACGGCACCACTGGTCTGACCCTGATCTTCGTCGAGACCAAGCGTATGGCCGACTCGCTCTCGGACTTCCTCCTTAATCAGCGTTTCCCCGCTACTGCCATTCATGGTGACCGCACCCAGCGTGAGCGTGAGCGTGCTCTGGAGATGTTCCGCTCGGGCCGCTGCCCCATCCTGGTGGCTACTGCCGTCGCTGCTCGTGGTCTTGATATTCCCAACGTCACCCACGTTATCAACTACGATCTGCCCACCGACATCGACGACTACGTCCACCGTATCGGCCGTACCGGTCGTGCTGGTAACACCGGTATCGCCACCGCTTTCTTCAACCGTGGCAACCGTGGTGTCGTCCGTGACCTGCTCGACCTTCTGAAGGAGGCTCACCAGGAGGTTCCTTCCTTCCTGGAGAGCATTGCTCGTGAGGGCAGCAGCTATGGCGGTCGTGGCGGCCGTGGTGGTGGCCGTGGCCGTGGTGCCACTGCCACCCGCGATATGCGTCGCATGGGCGGCAACGTGGGTGGTCCCCCTTCGTTCGGCGGCAGCAGCTACGGTGCCCCCGGTGGCAGCTACGGCGGCGGCGGTGGCAGCTTTGGAGGTCCCCCCTCTTACGGAGGTGGTGGCGGCGGCGGCTACGGCGGCGGCTACGGTGGTGGCGGTGGTGGCTACGGAAACCCCTCCGGCCCTACCGGACCTTCCTCTTGGTGGTAAATCAGAAGTTGTGGTCTCTGACGAGGCCGTCATGTCTGATTGGCTCCCTTTTCATCCCGTTCTTCTTTTCTTGCCTCTCAATTTGACGGATACGATCAGAACGAGTCCTGAGCCTCTTATCTTCTACCTCTTTTCGCTTTTTTCTTATCTCAGGACCGGCTTTGTCATGACTGCCACGACTTCCTTTTTAGAGTCTGTTTCTTTTTCATCTGTTTTCTAGGTGTTGTCTTTTCTGAGCATTGTGCCCTTATTTCTTTGTCTTCTCGTTCCGTTATGTCCGTTATTTAGGCATGATCTTATGATGCGGCCCGATCTCACCCTCTTGTGCTGCTCCTGATTATACCCACCATGTAATTGAGAGCATCCCGGTCGGCATTCCTTGAACATCATAGATTGCGTTGTCTTACTCTCGCACCCGCTTCCATCAGATACCCTTTTTGTTTTCAGGCGGCCACATGGAGAACTGCTTGAACGACGCGTGCCAGCCACAAGTGCCGGCTTGTCGCGTTACAGAAAAGTGCTTTTTATGATTTCATTTGCTTGGTGCGGTGGCATCTGCATCGACCGTGTCTTGCAACATAGATTTCTTCCAGTTTTCGGTATCTCATGGCGGGTTGTTTCCCCTTTTTGTTTTGAACCGCTCTCCAACTTCTCTTTCGTCCTTTTTGTCTGCTTGCATGCGTGCATCGTGTTTTCTGTTTCGTTACGAAGGCTACTTTTTTTCTCGGGCTTTGAGATCTCTCACTGGCGCAACAGCGGCGCGCAGAAGAGGGTTCGGGGCTTACCTCCTTGCACTTGGAGAAAAATATTATGGGCTTCTTTCTTATTCGGCGGGTACTTGTTTCTTTCGCATTACGTCTGGGACCGGTGGTGCACGAACACGTAACGCGAGCGATAGAGATGGGGATTCTTTGCATTCTGTATGGCGTTGGCTTGAGGTGTTGTGTCCACAAGAACTTCTTCTCTGCACTGGGATCCGCGGAGGATACCTTCCACTGGGGTTTCTGTTTCATATGTCGGATCCGTGGAGGATGGGAAGCTGCTTTCCCGGCGCTTTTTGCTTTCTTTCTTTTTGTGGTGATCATCGTCTCATGTCAGTAGCAGTCTGGGCTCGACGCGATTGTGCCGAAGATGGCCCTTTTTCTCTTTGTCTTCTTTTGTTACCGAGAGACTCCAGGCCTCGAGAACAGGGAGCTGATTTATTAAAAGAAACTAAAAGTTTGCTTCTGGTCATCCGTATCTGCTGTGTTGGTCGTAGTTTGATACATTTGTAGGTCGTACTTTTGTAGTGTGGCTAGTAGTATAGGTACCTAGTCTACAGCCGATATTCAGGTAAGGGTTCGAAAATAATGTTTAATTGTGACTGTACCGGAATAAAGCAGACGTGGGATTTCTATTATAGAACCTTTCATTTGTGTGGAAATGTGTCCTGGAGTCAATGACGGAGTGCCCCAAATTCAAGTTGAACACGAGGCACGGGGATATATATACCTTCCGCTAAAAGATGGCTTAGAATAGAACCAACCGATAAATACCAGAAGAAATGAACAATAGGCAGTGGGCGGTGTAAACTTGCTAAATTTATTCAATCACCAACAATCCCCTAATTTTATTTTTAAATATGATTTCCCTTGACTTGGTAGGGGATTCCCGGGGAAGACGAGAAGTGGCTGGTGAATCGAGGTGGTTGTTCGAGATGACCGGATTACGAAACTCACCTCTTTCCTCCTTTCTCAGCTCTCTCTTCCTCGCACTTCCTCCCCCAACAACCATCCTCGCCATCATCTTGGCGCATTCTTTTCATCGCTTCTCCTCTTTTGTCCCCTGCTTTCTTCCCCGTCCTCAACCCCAATTCCTCTCCGCCCTCCGCAATTCTACCTTTCCCGCACCTCAAGGACACAGGCTAAATCCGTGTTTCCCGCTGCCGATTTCTCTGCGCCTGCCGGCCCTTGAGCTGGACGACGCCCTGGCAAGGGCACGCAAACACCGACCGTCCATTGCCGCAATCTAGCACCGTGCATTTGCACCCATTCAATCACGCAGTCTGCGATTTGCAACCCAACACATCGAGTTTCCAAAATGGCCGAGGTCGAGCCTTCCGTCGGCGACGAGTCGTTTTCGCATGCCGAACCGAATATGACGGTGGGCACGAGACGTCAGGCGAATGGCACGATCGGATCCGTCTACTCGGGAAACAAGATTAGGCACCTGAAAAAGGAAGATGGTATCCCGCTTTGGCGCAAGGACATCCAGTACCAGTTTCTCAAGCTCGTCTTCGAGGATAAAACGCCCGTCTTCACTCGCTGGCCGGATGGAAAGAAGGGCTTCGACTTCGCCGACGTCTACATTGATGCGATGGCGCGCAGCAGCAAGACGAGCAAGATCCTCAAGGACAAGCTCCAGAATGATAAGCAGGCTGCTATCAGCATGGCTATGGTGTGTTTGCTCGTCAACTTTGGGCGAATGAACACTACCCTCAACTGTACGTTTCCTGTTGGACCTTCCCACCCATACTCGGCGTGGATCGCTCGCCCCGGTCTTCTGATTTGGAACTAACACCGGGTTTCCTATTTTAGTTTTCCCTGAGATGCGCGCTCAACTGCGGACCTACCACTCGATCCCCTCGTTACAGGCGCACCAAGACCCCAATGCCTACAAACAACTGCAGGATGCTCCTCGTCTCAAATCTATCCTCAAGGGTGCGTCGGAGGATGTTGACCAGCCGAACACACTTGAGATGATCAAGAATAGCACCATACCCCGGACAAACCCTGTCAACCTAATCTTCGTTCTGGCCCAATACGCCCCCAAAGTGTCCGAGTTGCACTTCTTTCCTCCCCGCGATTTCTTCGATCTCGTTATGAGATCAACACTGAGCAGCAAGAGCCGTGCTAAAGCGTTTCTCTGGCTGATGTGGTGGTACTTGGAGGGTGACTTTACCCCCGAGGCTGCCCTCAATAATCCGTTCGGCGCGGGTCTGGATGGCGAAGGAACAGGCGGCCTGCCGATCAAGGTGCCCAACTTCGAGAGCCTCACTGAGGATCAGGCCAACGAAGAGAACGTGGATACGCAATCCGAGATTGAATATGGAGAGGCTAAGCGCTTGGAGCGAAAACGTGAGTCTCACGGGTCCTATTCCTAAGGTCTTGGCCTTGCAAGCTGATTTTGGTTTCTAGGTATCTTAGAGGAAGATGAGCCCTTGCCTAGGGTACCGAAACGCTCTAAAAAAGGTATGCTTTTAGATGCCCCCGCACACTATACTATTGATTTTTTCCTGACTTCATTTAGTCTCCGAGTTTGGGTATGATGAGGACCAGGGCTCGGGTGATATCTCTGGTATCGCCTCAGGTAAGAAGCTTTGCTCGACAGGAAAGAGTGCGACGGATGCTGACAATGTTTTCTTCTAACCAGGTCGAGGTGATGGTCGCGGCTCCGCCATGTCGACTCCATTGCACCCCTCCTTCAAGCGATACCCCCCAGACGATGAGGACGACTACCAAACTCCCGGGCAGTCGGCTCGCTCCCGGTATAAACGTCCCAAACGTGATTCATCCCTTAACCGTTCCGTCGGTGGGCAGCGCATCGTCCTAAAAACTAAACTAGAGAATACCCCGGATGCAGCTTCTCCTGCGCCCCCCGGCTCAAGCCACCCGATCCTCAATCGGTTTGTCAATGAACCAAGTCTGCCTCAGCAAAGCTCTTCTCGGCGGCCCCGTCCTCTCACGCAGCATCAACTTGCGGTCGAGCAAAACCGACGACAGCGTATCGAATACTTGCTTGCCAAGCGAAAGACCGAGGCATATCGAATGCTGCGTGCGAAGCGGGAGAGCGAAATTCCCTTTGCCCGCTACGGCCGCCTACTGCAGGGCCTTCCCGACGGGTACGACACGGAAGACGAGCAAACCTCCTGGGGCAAAGGAGGTCTGAACCCCAACCCGGAGGAAGAGGAGGACTTTGGAGAGAATGCTAGCTACTTCTTATCCGTGGTTCGTAAGGCTGCTCGGCGACTGGACCGATGGGATCACGACGACGCAAACGGCCCCAAGAGAGATCGGAAGAAGGAACGAGAAGAGCGCCAGAAAGATCGACTGAATCGACTGACTGAAAGTGCTCTGGACGGGAGCGGGCGTGCGCCTACCTCCGCCCGCAGCCGAGCTCGAGCTGCACGGAATGCCCGCCGCAAGCTTGCGGGGGCCGCAGCAGGGGCCGCATCGGGATCTATTTCCAAGGCGCAGGCCTCATCGTCTCGTTCTAAGAGCAGCCGGAACCGCGGCCATCACAACGAGGCCGATGCGCAGGCGGCCACGGACGGCGCCGGCAGGGACGGCCTGGGAGCTCCGTCGCGGGACCACGAACTCTCGCCAATGCCTGCCTCGGCACAACTAGGGGACGACGATATCGAGGGCGAAGGCGAGGAAGGCCTTGACGATATCGACCGGGAACTTCTGGGCGAGGGAAGCGGCGACGACGACGAAGGACCGTCTCGACTGGGCGGGCCCTCTCGCCCGTCGGAGCCGGGCTACGAGGATAGCTTCATGGAAGGGGCCGATGACGACGCGGAAGGCCTGTCTTCAGACGACAACGACGAAGAAGCCGACGAGGATGACCTTGACGAGGGAGAGGGAGAGGTTGACGTCGACGTGGAAGGCGAGGGCGAGGGCGACGACAATTCCTCGACCTTCGAGGGTGGACATGGATATGCTGCCAGCGAGACCTCGTCCGTTGCACCCGAGCCGGGGCCCGACGCAGGCCGCCCAGCTGACGAGAAGGAGGACGAGACGATGGAGGATCAATAAGAGAGGGATCGATGTATTTCTACCACGTTTTCACACATGTTTTCCTATGTCTGTCACACCTGTTCGTTCCTTGCCCAGATTCCTTTCTGTCTCTGTCGGATACTTGTCTGGCTGTTTTCTGTACTCTTTCTATTCTTCACTTTTCTTTCTCTCTCATGTTTTTTTCCCCCCAATTCTACCCTAATATTTCTTGAATTCTAGAACTCTCTATGCGCACCGGCCCCTTTTTTAGCTTTCGTGTTCTTTGGTCAATCTTTTGTGTGTCTCACCATCTCTGCAAGCGGTTACAACGAAGGATGTCAGTGCGGAGGATTCACATGCAAATCTGCAGCCGAGTCGAATGACGGAGTAGATCAGTGTTTACTGTTTAGTTAGGGAAATGAATGAATGCATGAATGGGAGGATCGTAACACGTATCTGAGTCACTACTACATACTATCGACTGGGTGGACCAGAGACCCTTCCTCAACAGACGCGGAAAGGCAAGTGGTACGGCACGGGAATCGGGACGCGCTCAACGCACGCCCTTCTTCCTCCTTCTTCCTCTTCAATTTCTTCGCCCCTTCTTCTCAACTCCCCAACTCAATTACTCTTCCTCTCCCCAATTTTAATCCTCCATTCTTATCCTTGTTGATCAGATCAAAATCAACTCTATTTCGTTATTCCCATCATTGAAAATCCCCTCCCCCGCTCGGCTTCCTCGTGACAGTCGCCCGTCGGTCTCCCTTCCCCAGAGGCAATTCCGGCGCCGATCCACTGCAAATCTTGCGCCTCCCAACTGCACCGGCGACTCCACCGCGCCAGCTCCAACGAACCGATTCCCTCCAACCTCCCCATTCTTGCGCCGTCTGTGCTGCCTCCTGCCAGCAAAGAGCTGCTTGCTGCACTCTGTCGGGCTCAGACACGCACTGGTCCTCATTTCTCCGCCGTCCTGGCTAGCTTTTAACCCCTCTTTTTCTCCTGCATTTCTCCCCGACAGGCACATCCTTGTGGAAACTTTCGTCATACGGGAACCTTTCGCTCCTGCGTCTTCTATCTTAACCACGCTATTGCTCCGTGACCCGTCCGGCCTTCACCGACCGTTACTGCTGCACGAGCTCTGATATATCACCGGCTCTCGCATTGAAACCGCGCTTCCCCCGTCCACACGAAGATCGTCTCTGCTGAGGGCACGGAAATCTTGCCTACCGCGAGACCGCCACTTGAAGCCTGTGGTGTGCGCTTTCTGGATATTTTGACATTCACTGATCAGTTCTCTGCGCTCGCGATGTCCGACGGACCTTCCATCATTCGACCCCGTCCGCGACGGGTGTTTGACCTCGCGCCCCCTTCCACCGATTCCTCCGAGGCTTCGACGCCGGCGGAACCCTCGAACCCGGACCTCTTGACTCCCAAGGACACCGGATCGACCAGTGTCAGCCGGAATGGCTCGATCATGAACCTCACATCCCCAACGCTCTTCGGCATCTATTCTCCGACGGCATTCGAAGGGACCCGGGACGAATCCAGCCCTTGGGGGACTGAGGCCCAAACGCCCGCCACGGAGAGCCCGAATCCTCTTCAGCCGAAATCGGATGGCCCAGATCGTTTCGCTCTTCGGCGGACACGGTCGCGACTTAGCCACGGACTGTTTCTCGGCGTCATTCTTCCTCAAGTGGTGAAAAGTGCACTCCTGTTCGGGTTCGGTATTGTCTACGGGATCATTACAATTCATCTACACGAAAACCACTGGATCACGCCGGTGAAACTCGAGAACACTCATTACTACGGGTCCGCAGAATACCTGGCATTCTGGGGGTTGGCCGGCATTGCACTGGGAAATATTCTGCCATGGCTTGATCTGTTCTCGGAGGAAGTGGCAACGGACCCCACCCATCCCAAGCAGCGATCGAGTAGCGATGAGGATGATGAGGAGCGTACCCTCTCTTGGGTGGCGGTGGTTCGGAGTGTGGGGGCTTTTGTCGGGATAGCATTTGCGATGGTAAGTGATCACTGATCATACGTTTACTTGGGTCTCCTTGATTTGTGCGCGGATGCTGACATTTTTTCTTTTGTTCTAGCGGAGACTTCCCTGGCAATCCACCACTCAAGCGTCGGCGACTCTGGCTCTCGTTAATCCCGTCCTCTGGTATCTGATTGACCGAACCAAAACCGGCTTCGTCATGTCGACGACGGTCGCTCTGGTGGGAATGGGCGTCGTCTTGGGACTTCGGCCGGACCTGGTGCCTTCCTCCGCCAACGCATCCGAATCCGCAATCCCCGTTCTGAACCACACTCTGCGGGAGTACGGGCTGGCGACAGGCATCACGCAAGAAAGCATCGCCGTTCGCACCTGGGTCGCTAGTGTTCTCTTCTGCGCATGCGTTTGCTTTGGTAACATCGGTCGTCAATGGGCGATTGGGTCCCGCCGAGAGCACTTGAAGACATAGTCGAGTCGGCCAGGCTCTCTATAGCGTTTCCATCCGGTCTCTTTTTCTGCACAATTTTTTCCCTTTCTCATTTCGTGTATCGTCCCCACTATTTTGAAATTGGACAGGTTCTTCACTCATGGCCGGTTGCGAGCTGTATCACTTAAACCGCATATAATAGACTACTAGGTAACAAGCATCATTATTGTCCAGTGACGAGGTCAAGACTCGAAAGAGACATTCCAGTTTAGACGCTACGGTGGCTTAACATCCGACTGCCGCAAGTAGTAACTTCAGTAAGCGAATAATGATGGTAATAAGAAAAAAGATTGTAGAATCAATCATTGCAATCCCTTCCATAGACTAAGTCGGAAGACACTGCACCCAAGATCGATACTCTGCGGTCAGCAGTTCTTCTCCATTCTTTATGACGATTTCCGTACTTCATAGGCATGAAATCCTCGTAGGAACGCTTTTTGAAGAATGTTGAATTTTGCGTTGTTCATGTGGAAGAAAAAGAAAAGGAGAGGAAGAGCGGGAGCGCGCGAGAAGTTTTTGTGCTGCCGGAGGGATGGTCCGTGCGCCAATCCACGTGATGCACAGGACTAGCGTCCGCTCGGCTGAGGTCAGCCCTGCACTACGAGGCCTTATGCCCAGATATGCGAGGAATGACATAACTCCGTTTTGTAATGTGATGCCCGCCTGAGGCTGCAACCAGTGCCGAAAGCGGCGGAGGAACCCCGCGGTGGGACGCAGATTGCGTTGCTCATATCAACTGCCCTTCTGCTGCTCTGCTCTGCTCTGCTCTTGCTGTCTCCAGACAGTCTCCCTCACTTCCTAAGTCCGTCCCAGCCCAGTGTTTCTTTAGGTACGCCGAACCCTCCTCCTTACCTAGTTTGGTTGTCCGGTCTTTCCTTTACCCCTCATCACCTGCTCGTGACGCTTCGGAGACTCGTGGGGATAAATTATTCCCCTCTTTATTTTTTCTTCCTCCTCCTTCTTCCTTCCATATTGACCGCCGTCAATCGATTCTAACCGCCCCTTTCTCTAGTGTCCTGCACTGTTGCTGTGTTTCAGGATGTCTCAACAAAAGTCAGGTAAGGCAATCCATCCTTTACCCATGCTCGTCCTTTTTGGCCCTTGATCTCTTTCCCCGCTGGCTAAATAATTGTGTGGATGTGGTCCGGTACCTTCCCCACACGGCCGCCATTTCTTGTGACCCGAATTGAGTTGAATGGGTTCTTGGGCTAATGCTTTCCTGATGTGTCGATGAATAGCGATCCTCTCCGTCTACGACAAGACTGGACTGCTTGACCTGGCTAAGGGCCTGGCCAAGCAAAATGTCCGTCTGCTCGCGTCCGGCGGTACTGCTCGATTGATCCGGGAGGCCGGTTTCCCCGTTGAGTGAGTCATCCCGGGTTATTTTGGTGGCGGTGTATAAAACAGGGTTGGGATAAGATGTGACAGGGACTAACATGTTGTGTCCACTAACAGGGATGTCTCTGCCATCACCCACGCCCCCGAGATGCTGGGTGGCCGTGTCAAGACCCTCCACCCTGCCGTGCACGGCGGTATCCTGGCTCGTGATATCGAGTCCGACGAGAAGGATTTGGCCGATCAGAACATTGCCAAGGTGGACTATGTGGTCTGCAACCTCTACCCCTTCAAGGAGACCGTCAACAAGGTCAACGTTACCATCGAGGAGGCCGTCGAGGAGATCGACATTGGCGGTGTGACCCTCCTTCGTGCTGCGGCCAAGAACCACTCGCGTGTTACCATCCTCTCTGACCCCGAGGACTACCCCGAGTTCCTCAAGGAGCTGGAGGCCGGAGAGATCACGGACTCCAGCCGGAAGCTGTATGCTCTCAAGGCCTTCGAGCACACCGCCGACTACGACTCCGCCATTTCTGGTTTCTTCCGCAAGCAGTATGCCGGCAACGGCGAGCAGCAGCTCTCTCTGCGCTACGGCACCAACCCCCACCAGAAGCCTGCCTCCGCCTACATGTTCCAGGGCAAGCTGCCCTTCAAGGCCCTGAACGGCTCCCCCGGCTATGTCAACCTGCTGGACGCCCTCAACTCCTGGGCTCTGGTTAAGGAGCTGAAGCAGGCGCTCGGCTACCCTGCCGCGGCCAGCTTCAAACATGTTTCCCCGGCCGGTGCCGCCGTGGGTGTGCCCCTGAACGAGAAGGAGCGCAAGGTCTACATGGTTGACGACATTGCCGGCCTTGAGACCTCGGGTCTGGCTCAGGCTTACGCTCGTGCCCGTGGTGCCGACCGTATGTCCAGCTTCGGCGATATCCTCGCTCTCAGCGACGTCTGTGACGTCCCCACCGCCAAGATCATCTCGCGCGAGGTGTCGGACGGTGTTATCGCCGCCGGGTTTACCCCCGAGGCCCTGGAGATCCTCTCCAAGAAGAAGGGCGGCAAGTACCTTGTGCTCCAGATGGATGAGAACTACGTGCCTGCCGCCGAGGAGACCCGTACCCTGTACGGTGTCCAGCTCACCCAGCACCGCAACGACGTTGTGATCTCCCCCCAGAAGACCTTCGGCACCGTCATCACCCCCAAGGACTCGGCCGCTCTCCCCGACTCCGCTCTGCGAGATCTCACCGTGGCTACCATCGCCCTGAAGTACACTCAGTCGAACTCGGTCTGTTATGCGCTCAACGGCCAGGTCGTCGGTCTAGGTGCCGGCCAGCAGAGCCGTATCCACTGCACCCGCCTGGCTGGTGACAAGACCGACAACTGGTGGATGCGCTTCCACGACCGCGTGCTGAACATCAAGTGGAAGCAGGGCACCAAGCGTGCGGACAAGAGCAATGCCATCGACTTGCTTTGCTCCGGTCAGACCCCGCGCAGCGACGCCGAGAAGGTCGAATACGAGCGCGTGTTCGAAGAGGTTCCCGCTCCGTTCACCCTGGAAGAGCGCGAATCCTGGATTCAGAAGTTGAGCGAGGTTGCCATCTCGTCCGATGCCTTTGTACGTATTCCTTATGGACTAGCGGATAGTCCTTCCTTTTACTTCTTTGCTAATTGTGATATCCATCAACAGTTCCCCTTCATCGACAATGTCTTCCGGGCCGCCCGCTCCGGTGTCAAGTACATTGCGGCCCCCAGTGGTAGCCAGAACGACGGTCCCGTCTTCGAGACCTCGGAGAAGCTCGGCATCACTTTCGTCGAGCAGGGCACTCGTCTCTTCCACCACTAAATCTATAATCTAGTATTCCCTTTTTTGCGACTCAATACCGCCGTTGTTTGCGGTATGAGCCCGGTATCTCAAAATATGCCAGAATAGTTTTATGCGACAATGCTGGTCTGTGTATGTGTGTGGTCTCACCAAAATTATTTATACCTAAGACCTGTTTTATGGAAATGAGAATCAAAATGGATATTTACGGCATGGGTTGTGTTGGCGTCATCAGATGGTGTCAGTATGTAAGGAAGAAATTGAGTAGCCAAATTATGCATTTACGTTTATATTGAGGGACTTGTCTGGGTAAATACATAGAATGTCTCGGCGTCTCGCATAACTCTAAGGGCATACACCCCTTACCTAGAGTATGCTCGAGTAGTCCTCTGTACCTAGCATACGATAGTGCTCCTTGATTCTGATATCCATTAGCAGGTAATCTTGCTGCCAGGTACCCGGCCTCTCTAGATTTTTATTCTTATTCTTTGCATGGCCCCTTGCGTCCCCAGCATATGTAGAACCACCGCGTTTGATACAAACGGATGAATGATGTCTCAAGTGATATGTCATCATGGGTGGTTTGCTTAATGAGTGATACCACTTGGGGCACTTTGCAAATTGCCTAGAATCACTGTCCGTTTCCACCTGACGTCATGGCAGTGCGGATATCCCGGAGGGCGGAGTGCGTAGCAAACACACTGCTCTGCCTAGAAAGGATTAGAAGGAAAAGGATCAGTCTTGTGTAGGCCTTTTCCAGATACAACTGATGGGACATTCTAGGCATGCAGGGAAGGGATCGGAGAGCAGTACACGCAATAATCACATTGTTTTAAGTTTTTCTGTACGTAGACTTGGAGAATAAACAATGCGGACAGAGACCTAGATGAGAGCTAGATCCTTTACTCTAGGATGACATACGCGTAGAGTTGATGTGAGTAGATGAAGGTAGTTACTGTCGAATTGATAGTCTTCATGAAGTTGATACAAGGCTAAGAATTCACTTGCCATCATCCCTTGCCTGGATGCTAATGCAGAGTAGGATCGGGACGAGGAATTCACTGTGTTTGCCAGAGAGGATAAACTAACATTCACTTGATTCTGAATTGCTAACTAGGGCGGATTTGAAACTGCAGATTGATCAGTAGAAATTCCCCTATTTGCTGCTATTTCTGGCAGGATATTGGGCTCGTGCATTTCTTGCCTGGATCCAGTTGGACTTGACTGAGAGATCAATCACAACGGAATTCTGGGCTCAGTGGGGAACTGAGATCCAACCAAGCAGTCTGAGAATCTAACCTCCATCCGCAGGTGAGAGTACAAGTGAGAGAACAAGTGAAAGAACAGTGAAGGTCCAGAGGTGAATGCACGGCATCGATCCTCAGGCACGGGAACCCCCTGGTGCACGTGACCCTCACGCCCCCGTAAGCGACACCTCAGCAACGACTCCCGCGGCCTCCTGAGGTCACTCTTTCCGCTTCCCCAGTCTATCTACAGTCCCATCTCTCCCTCTCCCAATTCCCCCCTTTCTTCTTTTCTTCTTACCTTCCCCTCTTTCTCCGACTTCTAATTACAGCTTGCTATCCCTTTTTCCTCTTTCATTTCCATCCTGGTGGATATATTTGCGTGGCGTTCTTTTTTGGGTGGATGAGGTCGTTCTGCGGCCCTACTAGTAAACATGGCTCCTCTACCTATCAAATTTACGGAGCTTGTTAATGTATTTGATCCTCCCCCTTTGGTCAATTGTCCGAATTACCGACCCAGAAGGCTGACTTGTTTCCCCGTGTCTGCAGTTGACGAATGTTGAAATCGCGGTATGTCTTGTTGCGTTGCTGGCCCGTTCTGTTCCACGTTGCGGTGGTGCCTGCCCAGCGCGCACCCAACCGGAGCCTCTGCCACCAACCACCGGAACCATCTACTGACAATTTCCCTGCTATAGCCGGCTTCGATTGGTTTCAACTCATGTGTGAGTATTTCCTAGGACTATACCGCTCTCTCTGATCCCCCCTTTCATTTCGCTGACTGTGTGCCTTGCGTGGCCTGAATAGACTCTAGAATCCGACCACTACGTCTGTGTCCGGCAAAAACTCAACGAGGAAGAGAAGCCTCAAGTCATCATCATCAACCTTAAGAACAACAATGAAGTCATCAAGCGGCCGATCAACGCGGACAGTGCGATCATGCACTGGACACGCAACATCATTGCCCTCAAGGCTCAAGGGCGGACAATCCAGATCTTCGACCTCTCGGCGAAGCAGAAACTCAAATCTGCCGTCATGAACGAAGATGTTGTGTACTGGAAGTGGTTCAGCGAGAAGCAGCTGGGCTTGGTGACAGAAACCTCCGTCTACCACTGGGACGTCTTTGACCCCACTCAGTCCCAGCCGCTTAAGATCTTTGACCGACTTCCCAACCTAAGTGTATGTGGATATATCCTGAGCTGACTTTGGTATGCTGTGCACTTGCTGACCCAATATTTCCCCCCTGTCTAGAGTTGCCAAATCATCAACTACCGCGTCAACGACGATGAGAAATGGATGGTCGTGGTCGGAATCAGTCAGCAGCAGGGACGCGTGGTGGGCTCGATGCAGCTTTACTCCAAGGAGCGCGGTATTTCGCAATTCATCGAGGGTCATGCGGCTGCTTTCGCTTCCATCCGAGTTGAGGGCTCCCCGCTGGAACATAAACTCTTTACCTTCGCTGTCCGCACGCAGACGGGCGCGAAGCTGCAGATCGCCGAAATCGACCACCAGGAGCCCAACCCGCGGTTCCAGAAGAAGGCTGTGGAGGTCTACTTCCCCCAGGAGGCGGTTAATGATTTCCCCGTCGCGATGCAGGTGTCTCGGAAGTACGACGTTGTGTACCTCGTCACGAAGTACGGCTTCATTCACCTCTACGACCTCGAGACCGGCACCTGTATCTTCATGAACCGAATTTCGAGCGAGACGATCTTCACCACCGCCCCCGACTCCGAATCCGCCGGTCTGGTTGGTGTCAACAGGAAGGGTCAAGTGTTGACCGTGAGCGTCGACGAGAACACCATTGTCCAGTACCTGATGGAGAACCCTGCCATGTCCGGCCTTGCGGTGAAGCTCGCCTCCAAAGCCGGTCTTCCTGGCGCGGACCACCTCTACCAGCAGCAGTTCGATAACCTCATCGCTCAAGGCAACTACTCCGAAGCCGCGAAGATCGCTGCCAACTCCCCCCGTGGTTTCCTCCGGACCCCAGAGACCATCAACCGCTTCAAGAATGCCCCCCAGACCGGCCAGCAGATGTCTGTCATTCTCCAGTACTTCGGTATGCTGCTGGACAAGGGCACTCTCAACAAATACGAGAGTGTGGAACTTGTTCGTCCCGTTCTGCAGCAGAACCGCAAGCACCTGCTCGAGAAATGGCTGCGCGAGAACAAGCTGGAGGGCTCTGAGGAGCTTGGAGATATCGTTCGCCCCTACGACATGAACCTGGCTCTCAGCATTTACCTCCAAGCCAACGTTCCCCACAAGGTCATCGCCGGATTCGCCGAAACTGGCCAGTTCGATAAGATTCTGGCCTATTCCAAGCAGGCCGGGTACCAGCCCGATTACACCCAGCTTCTGCAGCATATTGTCCGTGTGAACCCCGAGAAGGGTGCTGAGTTTGCCGCCCAGCTTGCCAACGAGGAGAGCGGTGCGCTGATTGACCTGGATCGCGTTGTGGACGTGTTCCTGTCTCAGAACATGATCCAGCAGGCCACGTCATTCCTGCTCGATGCTCTCAAGGATAACAAGCCTGAACATGGCCACCTGCAAACCCGACTGCTGGAGATGAACTTGGTAAATGCTCCCCAGGTTGCGGATGCCATCCTCGGTAACGAGATCTTCACCCACTACGACCGCCCCAGAATCTCTCAGCTGTGCGAGAATGCCGGTCTCATTCAGCGTGCCCTGGAGAACACCGATGATAGCTCCGCCATCAAACGCAACATTGTTCGCACCGACAAGCTTACCCCTGAATGGTTGATGAGCTACTTCGGCCGCCTTTCGGTTGAGCAGTCTCTGGACTGTATGGACACTATGCTGGAAGTCAACATCCGCCAGAACCTGCAGGCCGTGGTGCAGATTTGCACGAAGTTCTCTGATCTCCTGGGCCCCAACCAGCTCATCGCCCTGCTCGAGAAGTACCGCACTGCCGAAGGTCTCTACTACTACCTTGGAAGCATCGTCAACCTCAGCGAAGACCCGGAGGTTCACTTCAAGTACATCGAGGCCGCAACTGCTATGGGCCAGACCACCGAGGTTGAGCGGATCTGCCGTGAGAGCAACTACTACAACCCCGAGAAGGTCAAAAACTTCCTCAAGGAAGCCCGGTTGACCGAGCAGCTCCCCTTGATCATTGTTTGCGACCGTTTCAACTTCATCCACGACCTGGTCCTCTACCTTTACCAGAACCAGCAGTTCAACTCGATCGAGGTCTACGTGCAGCGCGTCAACCCCTCTCGTGCTCCGGCCGTGGTCGGTGGGCTTTTGGATGTTGACTGCGAAGAGAGCATTATCAAGAACCTTCTCTCTACCGTTGACCCCTCCGTGATCCCCATCGATGAGCTTGTGAATGAGGTCGAAACCCGCAACAGGTTGAAGCTGCTCCTGCCATTCCTTGAGGCCACCCTCGCCACTGGCAACCAGCAACAGGCCGTTTACAACGCCCTCGCCAAGATTTACATCGACAGCAACAACAACCCCGAGAAGTTCCTCAAGGAAAACGACATGTACGACACTTTGACGGTTGGAAAGTACTGCGAGAAGCGCGACCCCAACCTGGCCTACATTGCCTACCGCAAGGGTCAGAATGACTTGGAGCTCATCAACATTACCAACGAGAACGCCATGTACCGGGCGCAGGCTCGTTACCTCGTTGAGCGGGCCGACCCTGAAATCTGGTCCTTTGTCCTGAGCGAGAACAACATGCACCGCCGGTCCCTTGTCGACCAGGTCATTGCAACCGCCGTGCCCGAGTCGACCGAGCCCGACAAGGTATCGGTTGCT